GGATTGAACAAATCAGAGTTGGTTTGCTTTTCAAAATAGGTAATGTGGTTCACCTATTGTACTGTTTCCAGAGCATTGTTCCTCAGGACTCCCCAATGAGAGCCCCCCACCCCCTCTTCTCTTCTAGGAGCAAGGGAATTCTTATCACTCAGTTTCAAGTTGCTGGAGTTGTAGACAGAGGTATATTCCTCCTGAGTGATGTCTGTACTCTTTATTCCACTCAAGGAGAAGAAGGCAAAACTGGTTACCCTCCCACCCTTAACCCTGGATGGTTTTCCCAGATGTTGGTTGGGGAGCAGGTCCAGCCAACGCAGGAGCCTTTTCGTAATTCTGGTTCAGAGATAACACTTTGCTATTCAGTTGTGTGAGCATGACCCTTTTTGGTCATTCTCTTAATTTCCGTGTTCATGGAAGAGGGTCCTTGACTCCATCTAATTCCACATGTGGAGTATCACATCCATGAGCCATTGGTTGAACTTCGTTTGTTCCACATCATCCTTGTAATTTCAGGGGCAACAGGTGTTACCTTGCCTCCCAGGTTGAAGAGTTAGGATCTTGGTTCATAATCCCAGGCCAGATGATCTGTTTCTTCAGGTTGAGTGAGGTATGAATTGCCTACATAATTCCAAGTTTGGTTTATTACATTCTGAGCTTCTTCTGGTTGGGGGGAAGACTTGTCCTGTTGGATATGGCTTGCCTTTCCTTTGTAATTCCGGTGACTCACATGCAACATTCTGTAACTTTCAGGTTGAATGGCTGGGCCCATAATTCCGTGTTCGTCTTGTTGCATTTTGTATTCCTTCAGGTTGGAGTGAGGGTTGGTCCACTTTGGTGTTGTTTGTCTTCTTTTCGTAATTCTGGTGGCTCGACATACAACATCCTTTAACTTTCAGGTTGGGTTCCGTTCATATCGTTATCATATTTGTATTATACAATTATATCATATTGGTGTCCCCATTCCCTATCCACTACACCTTGGATCTAGCTTTGAGTCCACAGCCCTATAATTCCAACGATGAGACATGGAACCTCATCTGTGTGGTTGTGGCTTTGATGAATTTCATAATAATGAACAGTGTTGGCTCAGTAGCCGGTTGGCCTTCACCACTCATGTTTAGATTTCACATTATATGGGCGAAGAGCATACCTGTTCCATAAGTAGCGTGACCCCCAATAGTGTGCTTTATTATATCTCAATATTGCACACCTGTTTTTCTACACAGACACTTTCTTTGTGGATCTTGCCCTCACTGGCCCATCCACCTGGTCAGTGTGGGATTCTAGTCAAAGTGTGAGGGGAGGTAAGTGTGTTTTGGAAGTTTACATTTTCCTCCTCTCAAACTATCCCGCCAGTGTTCAGGTCTGATAATCTTGCAATTCTTGAAAAAAGTGAATATGAAAGAATAACAGGTAAGTATTTTTGGAAATACATTTTCACTATAGGAAAATGTAAACTTTTATTGTGGAATTATGGGGCAAAGAAAAGTCATTCAAGGAACTCTGGAAAGTCATCAAAATGATGATCTTGTTCCAACAGAAAGAAGGTTCTCAATAAACAAAAACATTTTGGCTGACAACATAAGGAAGGAATGAAATACTGCTATACGGCCAAGGCGGGATATACGGTACGAGCAGAGACATGGTCCTTTCTTATCAAAACTTAGAACACTAGGGTAGGAGATAAGACTTCTCTCCAC